TATCATGTTTATCCTAAGTTAGAAATGAATTCTAAGTCCACTCCACTTACAGTATATTAGTATATAGTCTAATGGAATTGACTTACAGTTCATTTCTGACTAAAGGATTACTACCAATTCACTTCTATTCGTGGGCATGGAATTTCGTGATTTTATCAAAACGGGCATTTTCGTGGGTTATAAAATTCATGTTTTTTTTTCTTGTAAAAAAAAATAACCCGATGGAAAGTAATCTTACACCTAATCGCCATGCAGTTTCATTTACCCCATGTACAGATCATTGTCAATAAATTTAATCCTTTCCTCTGGGTGAATTGCTGCTTTTTGCAAAAATGAGTAAAATAATGAACATTCTACATTAGAATCGAATCCAGGTCAGCTCGGCCCTAAAACGTACTTGGCCCCCGAGTCAGCTTGGCCCTATTCCAACTCGGCATGGGTCAACTCGGCCCACTTTTCAATTATTAATATTTAGGTTTGTGTTATCACTATTTATTGTAATTACTTATAATACGCCTATTGACAGTTTCCAAATAAGCAGCAGACAGGCTTTTCTTATCAGTAGAATTGCGAGTAAAGATAACCGATTGCGTATCTCACTGTATTTCTGACTTAAATACCTTCAGTGTCAAATAATGTGTTGAAATATATATTGTTATGGGCTATTATTATCAATCAGTGTGTATGTTAAGGATACGATTAATTAGGTGATAATTATGATTGACTCATTCATTCATTTGATTTTGTGACCACCTGCAATTAATTAGAAGCTTATGATATGAAGTAAACACGTTATTGTTTTATATTTTTTGGAATATTACTTTACAAACAAAATGCCTCTAAGGAAACACATTTTTATTTGATCGATCTATATTAATTTTATCGAATCTGTGAGACAAATAAATAAAAAAAATCTAAATGTACTTATTTCGGCAGAAGTATAATTATATAATAATAAGATATTTCTCATTATTCATTTACCTTAACAACATGCAAAGCAAAGCAAAGTTAATACGTTATATCTATTTTTGTAAAGTGGGCCGAGTTGACCCGTGCCGAGTTGGTACAGGGCCGAGTTGACTCTTTTCCTTAGAATCTACGTTAAAATATTTTGAACAAAAAATTTCTTGTTTCGGTGGATGACTAACATATGTCATTTTTTACTAATTTTAACACTAGTCAATAGGAAAAAAGTAAGATTTCTTTCGGAACGTGCTATGGGTTTATGAGCATTTTCGATATGTCGTCGCCGTGCCAAAAGGCAAAACGTAAAAATATCTCAAACTTTCAAAGCTACGTCGTATTTTAGGACTATCTTACCCCGATAAAATCTTGTTAAATCTAAGTAATATACTATTTTGCTTTACTCAATATATTTAGTAAACACAGCTTTCTGTAAATGATGTCTGTATTCTCTTTTAGAATATTTTGTTTCCGCCAAAACAAAATTCATAAAGTACTGCAAATGGCGTGTTTCTAAAAAGGGAGGTAAGATACTTTTTTTCCACAGGCTTAGTTATATTCCAGTATCCGTTACAGAAACTGTACGTGACTCTACCGGACAAATAAACTATAATATTAAACTTCATGTTATACAGATAAAGTTCAGTAAGAATCGAACAATAAAATGAATTAAACTTGCTGATGACATTTTGATGAAATATTTTATTTTTGTAACGTTTTAAGGCACACAAAAAGCCTGTCTGTGGAAAGATAGCTCACCACCGAGAGTGGTTTATGCCCCTTATATCACAGGGGATTGAAATTCTATCAATAATCGCCCTAAAGTCTGATTTAAAAAGTCCATAACTATTTTTTAACATACGGTATGTATTTTTTTAATCGGACTTCAATGGAAGGAAAAATAAGGCGTTTTAATTAGAACAAACATACAAGCCATACAGCAAAAAGATACAACTAGCATAAAAATACAGGATTTAAAGGAAAATTAACATACATCATATAATCAAAGCATTATAGCAAACTTAAAAGGGATTCACAAAAACAAACAAACAAACATGCAGTCTAAGCATTTTACATAAATTATAAATAAGTAAATTAACAAATATAAAGCAAATTTACAGACACATATAGCACATTTACAAATTGGCCGGGTCACTCCAGACCTAGCTGGATCAGTCTCCCAAACTCTTTGTAGTTTTCAACCTTGCGGATTAGATGTCATTAGGGAGACTGTTCCAAATTTGGGAGCCTTTAAAACTTAAAGAATTCTTACCGTATGTTACTGTTTTGACCCTTGGAATATTAACAATTTTTGATACCTAAAAAAATAATTGGAATCTTTAAATTGAATTTAATTGTGACTTTCCATACAAGCATTTACAACACTTCGTTGGCTATAGTTTTAATTCTTGGTAAATGTAAAATAGGCATATTTACTTTTTTAATCGTGTGTCATATGTAGAATTAAAATCATTTAATACTATTCTTAGTGCTCTAGATCTAGGCTGGAGTTTTTAAAGCTTTTCTGTGTTTGTTTTACAGCAAAAATGCCAAACTAGGGGACAATAGTTAAAATTAGATCTAATAGAAGATTTGTAAACAACAAGAAGACATACTGAATTAAAACAATTCCTAATTCTTAAAAGCACATTTAATAGCTTGACAGCTTTTTACGCATTCTGGTGACCTATACGTATATCAAAGTTAAGTAAAAAGTCTATGTCTACCCAAAGCTCACAATTTATTGTAACGTTATCAAATTGAAATTGTTTTACAACAAAAATACCAAACTAGGGGACAATAGTTAAAATTAGATCTGATAGAAGATTTGTAAACAACAAGAAGACATACTGAATTAAAGCAATTCCTATAATTCTTAAAAGCACATTTAATAGCTTGGCAGCTTTTTACGCATTCTGGTGACCTACAATAATACGTATATCAAAGTTAAGTAAAAAGTCTATGTCTACCCCAAGCTCACAATTTATTGTAACGTTATCAAATTAAAATTCTTTTAAGTGTTCAATTGTAATTTTCCCAACAGCTATGGTTTGAAACTAGTCAGAGTTAACTTGCATTTTATTAATGTTGAACCAGTTAATAAGTATTTTGCTTTCATTTTCTAATGTATTTTTCAGTTTGTCTATTTTTGAGTTGGAGAAGGCATCTGCATAATTGTAGTGGATAAAGTAAAAAAATATCATTCATGAAGTATCACATGTATAATTATGACTTTCTACCAACGTCGTTACATCTTAATCACAGTATGTTTATTTTTTTGTTCCATACATCCAACATGGTTTATGATGTTTTAAGGTTATATATATATATAGTGGATTTGAACATGCCACAACTTACATATAGGGGCCTCAAAGAGTTTTTTCAACATCCGTTTTACTTAATCTTACTACTATGTTTACATTTTAGCCCTGATTTTATCTGGAATTTAATTAAATAAACACATTATCAGGGGATAATTTGGAAATCTGGTACCTAGCTGTCATCGTGGGAGGTGTAAACAACAAGAATTAGCCTATCCTTTAAATCTAGTATTAAGTTGTACGAATTCAAGAAATAGTAGCTTTCAGACGTTAAGATTTGCTTGTATATCTAAGTTTTAATTGGTATTGTACTTCAAAATCCTACCGCCTGTTGAGACTTTTAGATGTTTATCATCTGAAGTGAATACGACTGTGAAATAAAGTCTTTACTAATTGCCAGGACGCAAAGGAAGCAGAAGATGACACAGCTGTATGGCCAATGAGTACCATTTTGTAAACTGATATCTAGAGAATATGTCCTATGTGAGTGATTAAACAATTGGGTTTTATATGATTGCTTGTTTGTTTTTTAATTGACTCAATATGTACTTAAAATTTTATGGCTGTAAGAATAGTTATTGTTAGAATACATTTCAATGTCAGTCTATTATAGATATATACTCAGCTAATGTTGATTGCTCTTTTAAAGACTAAAGTTACAGATTAATTGTCTATGGTGCTGCGTTATGTCGTGCCGTGTCGTGCTGTATATGTCGTACTGTATTAATTGTATCGTTTTTTGTCGTATCGTTTCGTATCGTAGCGTATTGTATCGCATTACTATTATTTTGGTGTACATTTCATGGGTATTGGTATTGCCATGTATTGGTATTGCATTTATACTGTGCCGTATTGTATCGTATTGTTTTTTATTGTATTGTATCGTCGTTTTGTTTCGTATCATATTGATTCGAAACCCATCGCATCGCATTGTAATGCATTGCAATGCTATTGTATTGAAGTGAATTACATTAGTATTGCATTGTCTTGGTATTGTGTTTATACTGTGTTGCTTTCATTGTATTGTTTTGTATTGTTTCGTATCGTATCATACCGCATAAAATTGCATCCATGGCATTGCTTTGCATTGCTTTGTATTGAAGTGTACAACAAATTGGTATTGTATTTGTAATATAATGTATTGCTCTGTATTGGTATTGATATTGCATTGCATCGCTTGTACCGTATTATATTTTATTTTATTGCATTGACATTGTTTATATTATGTAGTATTTTGCAATATTTAAAAAATTTGAAAAAAATTAAAAACATCAATTTTTGAATTAGAATGCCAGCGAAAAAGATTTGCAAATAAACAGAAGCATATTAAACTATCGCTTACAAAGTTTTCGCTTCAAGGCCATCTTAACTTTGCGATAATTGAACAGTTGAATAACTATTCTGATTTTAATTCAGATAAAGCCAAAGAAAGAGATCGACAAAACTAATACAACGCAACATAAAGTAGACAGCCATAGGCATGTTGAATATATGACACTGCGAAGTACATGTATATATCGAATACGGTCAGAAATTGTACTCGATAATTATTACACGAAACTGAGTAAGATAACACTTAAGTATGCCAATACATAGAAATTTTATTTCAAAAGTTTTACATACTATTTACAATTTAATGCATTCATATTTCAACACTTGAAACAGACATCATGGAAATAAAAAACGTAACTTGCAACAATGGACACAAACAGATACAAAAAGCAAAACTTTTTAAAAAGTTTCTATCTAAATGAAGTGATCTATATAGTTCAAACCTTCCATCCATCCATCTCAAAAATCAATCGATCTATCAATCTCTCTCACTCAACCATTCAATTATCAATCAATGCATCAGTCACACAATCAACAATCAATCAATCAATTAAGCAAGCAAGAAATTAAGCAAGCAAGAAACCACAACCATAAGTCAATCAACATATTATGTGCATTATAATTCAAATGTTATTAATGATAATAACTGATCCATTTATCACAATGTTTCAGCATGCATGTAGGCTGTATTTATATGTAAAAGTAAGATAAACATAGGTATAACATAGGAATACTATTGGAAATATCAGTGTTCCCTAATAAGACAATGTTTGTATCTAAAGTTTCAACAATTCTTATTTTGACAAAGTGAATTTTTTTTTAACTTTGGAAACAAACTTCGGTGTTACAATATTCGAGTATCCTACTTCTATGTAGAGAAATGAAAAAGGTTCAAATTGGCAAAAATATGTCAAGCATATGAAATGTGTGCCGCTTGGGTAGGAGACTACACATGAAAGATAAGGTGTAAAGCTTATTGAAAATGTAGTATTTGCATATTATAATGGAAACATGCATAAATATTTATTACAGATAAGAGGCCAGTATTATACATGATAATGAAAAATCGCACTAACGGACCTGATGATCACAGTCACGAGTGACATCGCTGACAGAGCATTGTCTACAAAGATTAACATGGTATATGTCAATCTCAGCTTGTCTTGGAGTTCTCGCAGAAAAGCCACCATTTGGAAATTTGTTATCCGCAGCCATTGGATTCAAGCCAAAATCATGTGATACAGGCGGCTGAATTTGTACTGGTCTTTGCTCAGAGGGTTCTAAAATACAATCTTGCTTGTCATCATCGGCATCTTTTTTCTTTGCTTTCTTTTTGCTCATTTTCTTTAATGTGTGTCGAATTTTATCACTAATACCAGAAAGAGGCCTGTCTGTTGAGCCTCGCTTGTTGTTTTTGAGAGCATTAAATACAGCGGTCCTGAATCCCCAGCTTGTTGAAATCGTTCCTTCTTCACAGCCATCCCCGTTTTCATCCTGTAAGGATCGCACTTCAAGCATGTATCTTTTCATTTTTCTTCTTCGGTGCATAGTGTTATTATATCGACTAACTTCCTGACATTCACCCGCTTTGAATATAAATGTATTTGGAAGGATACTTTCAAAGAAGAGAATCACGGATAATTTTTGAAGCTTCCAATGTCGCTCTCTTGTTCTTACATTTCCAACATTTTCTACCAATTCCATACATGTGCGAGACATCATTGCTATAAGTGCATTCAACATAAGCAAAGTGGTCATAACGATAAAGCCTACCAGTATGATGATACACAAGGTGGGATGACGAGTATCATAGATTGCAACTAAGTCTCCGACACCTACCATCAAGCTATACATAGAGAATATTGTCCGCCAAATGTCCCGATAATCCATAGATTCAGCAACACTCGACCCTTGAATCGCCATATACATAGCGGTAGCGAAAGCAAGTATTTCGATACCGATTATAACAAAGAAACGTGACATGTCTATAATGAGGACTTTTTGTATCATAACCGTGAAGAAACTGAACGGTTTGATGGCTCTTATGAAAAATATTTCCAAAAACCATCAGAGTACCATAGCTACTATTAGTAGATAGTTCTCGTAGTAAACAAGGACAATGGCAAGGATAAAGTCGATAATGAGGCAAAGTCCGAATAAAACAAACATAACACGAAACCAGCCACTGCTGTAAGGATTCCAGAGTGAGTTCAGAGTCCATGACATTCTTTTTTTGGTTATACGCAACACTTCTTGAGCAAGGTATACTACTGAAACTATTATACATATTGTGCCATATGCAGTAATAAACGCGTCATCTGTTATTTTCTTTGTAAAGACGCGGGGACTGTTGACACTGAAAAGCCCTTGGGAATTATGGTTTTGTCTCGATCTCTCAACACAATACCATGTATGAAAAAACATAAATATCGTATGAAATATCCACCAAGGGTAGAAATATTTTCTTATGCATTCCACTTCTGGTTGATGACTCTCATTAAAGGAGGAAACAAAATGAACTGAAAAGCGACAGACGGCTCAAGATCGAAAAGCATCATAAGGACAGACTTTCGAAAAAGTTCACTTTGATACGTAGTCTGTCTTCGGGAAATGTTCTCCGGTTGACTTCTGTTTTGCATACTCCCGTTTTCCCCTCCCATGTCTCCAGATTTCATTGAAGAAATAGCGTCAATTTCCGTAATTTCAAACATTCCATCTTTCGAGTTTTCGAAACAGTAGGCCTGCAATATTGATAAGTTTTACATCGCATGGTTACATGATATTTTATATAATTCCATCTAGATCTACTATAATTATTCATTACTATAAAAACTCAGCATTTAAAAGATACAAATCAAAATATTCTTAATGATAGAAAATAATATTTTTTTCTGGATTTGATATAACATTGACATTTCTGTGGTTACAAAGCATTAATTACCTTTTCGTCCATAATAAAAGAAAACACCTGGTGTTGTCCAAGTGTCAAAGGTTCAAACCTTGTAGATTCTCCATTAACCAAATTTTCATCCTGAGTTTTCTGTTTTGTATTGCTCGTGCACTAGTATCATACGGCGCAGGGTCCTCGTTTATCTTCCGGCACATTTCTAATACGTCTTTAAGTTTTTCTGGGTATAAATAACCATATCTGTGAACAGAAACTAAATTATAAACGATATATATGTGCATATTGTGCTTGAATGTAGATGAAAATTAAATTACCATATCTTCACAGAAAATATTTTCGAAAAATAAACGCCATGTTATAAAATAAGCGAAGTATCACAAAACTAGGGTGGCTGATTTGTGCCAGTCGTGGTTTCTTCCCGCGACCCCGCCAAGTGAAAAGTCGAAAATTAACAAGTTAAAATGGCGGGGGCGCGCAGCGAAAACATGTTAATCAGCGAGGGCGCGGGGCGAAGTTTAATAAAGCTTTTCTGTGTTTGTGTTACAGCAAATATGCCAAACTAGGGGACAATAGTTAAAATTAGATCTAACAGAAGATTTGTAAACAACAAGAAAACATACTGAATTAAAACAATTCCTAATTCTTAAAAGCACATTTAATAGCTTGGCAGCTTTTTTACACATTCTGGTGACCTGTATATCAAAGTTAAGAAAAAAGTCTATGTCTACCCCAAGCTCACAATTTATTGTTACATTATCAATTTAAAATTCATTTAAGTGTTCATTTGTAATTTTCCCAACAGCTGTGGCTTGAAACTTGTCAGGGTTAACTTGCATTTTATTAATGTTGAACCAGTTAAAAAGTATTTTGCTTTCATTTTCTAATGTATTTTTCAGAATGTCTATTTTTGAGTTGGAGAAGGCATCTGCATAATTGTAGTGGATAAAGTAAAGTAAAGTATTGTCATCTGAAAAATTGTGGATGGACTTATCTATAAAGTAAAAAAATATCATTCATGAAGTATCACATGACTTTTTACCAACGTCGTTACATCTTAATCACAGTATGTTTTTTTTTGTTCCAGATATTCAACATAGTTTATTATGTTTTAGTTTTAAGGTTATATATATATCTCTTGGACAAACATAACATAAGTTATAAAAACAAGGCTTTAAAGGTTGGACTTTCGGATAGCTGAAACTTTTCATGAAATCCCGAATAGCCAGTGATTACATGCCAGCCAATATGAAATGTAGGCCTGACTATCTGTTTCTTCTCTAGATCAAAAGTATGTTTGCTATATATGGTTATAGAAACTGTCAAAACTTGTAATATGAACGAGTATGTGTTTATTATTAAAGCCAGTTGATGAAACTCTGTTTATACAAGTAAATATGAGACACTGTGTTGATATAATAGATTTTATGCCCACATAAAATAATTTATGTCATTGTTCTGTCCCTATACTCATTACTGTACAGAATATTACGGGTCAGGTTTTTAGCCGTTACGGGTCAGGTTTTAGCCAAGTACGTCTTAGCCAATCGATATCAAGACTTAAATCATGTGATGTTAATTAACCAATGATTACATTAGATCATATCACAAAGAAAATAATTTTTGGCGAGGAATGATTCTCGCCTTTCTGTTTACTAAAATTTATCTATTTTTTGAAGTCATAAGCTTTATTTAAAGTGAAACTAATTACGTATTACTATGAAACAGTTATCTTATTAATCTGCTGGGAGCGAATTTTAGGGACGTGTGTCCCCCGTTTCATATTCAATTTCGTGACGAAAAAATGGCAATTCATTTCACGGCAACACGGGCAGGATATCGTAACAGGATACAAATTTATTATCAAATGAACATTTCTACATTCGTTATTAAATTTCACCCTCATTTGAGACTCGGGGAATTTAGACAGAACGATTGTAATCTACGATGATGGATTTAATTTTCACAGACATATTTTGTTAGTAAAATGCAACTTTTTTGGGAGCTTTGAAAGTTTGAGACATCATCAGTCGGGAAACAGTTGTGCCGGCCTTTGGACACTGTTGGAACTAATGACATTTACAAATCAGAATTTATCCACAAAACGTTGCTCGTCATATTACAGATTTCGTAGATACCATACTATTTACGAGTCCTGAAAGTTACCATTGTTCAACAGTTCAAGTTTTGTACAGATGCCAAAACAAACATAAACGATCATACTTATGGCGAATAAATGGTTCATGGGTTGACATGTCTAAACAACATTTACCTGTTTACACCAGATGATGCCACCTGTTTACTCTGATCAGCTACGTCTCCTCAATGAGATAAGAACAGCAGCTTTGGTCGCCGCCCCGAAGCATTTCATTTGTCAGACAATTTCAAAAAAATAAGTAGTATTTGTTTACTATGTCTTTAAGTTATATTGTACTAAAAGTCAGTATTTTCTGCATTGTCTGCCTGCCCTGTTATACAAACTATTGAACAGATGAAGTCTAGGTTTTGTTGCTTTGTCTTAACAAATTAATATAATAAGCTTTGATTATGACTCGAAGTAGATCTACTTAATGAATTTATCAGTGAGTAAATTTCTTTATATTTATAATATATAAGGTTATTCATTGCCGGGTTTGTTGTTGGTCATCAATTATTCTCCTAATGATAATGTTACAAGAATGCAGTATTAATCAGACATAATTTTTCCTGGACACATAATTGAAATTCTATATTAGTCATGTTAGTTATCACTTATTTCAATTCATTTACAGTTCACACAAACTTCTAATTAGAGTAGATAATAGTACATGTTGATTGTCTGCTAGTCTACTATACATTTGTACACACATCATCATAGCAGTATTATTTAGCAACATGTTAAGTAACAGTCCAGATTGGAGCGATTTAGCCTTATTTCTTTTTAATTTTACATTTTTTTTTTGTTGACTCCAACTAAATACAGTAAGTGTGATTTAGTTTATAATTTCCATACATTCATGTTTCACTGTTTTTTTTTTTGTTTTTTTTTCAGTCATTGTATTTAAGATTCAAAATTACTGTTCTGAATTCTAATTTTGAATTTATTCTACTATACACTTAATCAAATTTTCTTTAAATTTACACTGACCTGAACTAATTTTCACTGGCCTAGGACCAGTGTTAAATTCTATGACTGGTTTTTACAACAGTTTAAACACGATTACAACACAAGGTTAGTTTACAGTCCGTGTTAGTTGCATTTATACATATTCTAGTATACATGGCTTAATATATAGTTTTATGTCTGCGGGACTTAGTTAACATTTAGTACACATTTTCAACACAATATAGTTGACGATCCATGTGAGTGTGATTTTGTTTATAATTATACGCATCGTATGATAAATGACTTATAATCCATGTCTGCTTGATAAAGTTTACAGTTCACACATAGTTTATAATACATGTACATGTAAGTGTGATTTTGTTTACAATTCGCACACATCCCATGATACATGGCTCCGGTTATATACCCATGTCTTAGTGATTTAGTTTACCGATGATACACATGGTTTAGTTTACACGCATATTTTCTACACATGGTTTAGTTTACACTCCTGGTGAGTGTGATTGAGTTTAGAGTTCTCGCATATCCAATTATACATTGCTTTAAGTTTTATAGACAATGTCTGCGTGATTTAGTTTACAGTTCACGCCTAATTTCTACACATGGTTAGTTTACAGTCCATGTGAGTGTGATTTAGTTTACAGTTCACACTTATCATATTATACATGGCTTAGTTTAAAGTCCATGTCTGCGTGATTTAGTTTACAGTTCACGCCTATTTACTCATGGTTTAGTTTACAGTCCATGTGAGTGTGCTTTAGTTTACAGTTCACACATATCCTATTGTACATGGTTTAGCTTAAAGCCATGTCTGCGTGATTTAATTTACAGTTCACAACTTATTTATTCACACATGGTTTAGTTTACAGTCAGTGCGAGTGTGATTTAGTTTATAGTTCACTCATAATTATCCTATCAGAATTAATTTAATAATCAATTACATTTCATACATTTAGTCTACCTTAAATTGGCTTAATGACAAAATAATTCATATTTTTTCAGATGAAACGGCCACAAATTCTCCTTACACCTGTTATTCAGGTCCACAACAAGGAAAAGCCAAATACCAAGAATGTCCAGTAAATCCTGCAAAAACCAAAAGACTAGTCGAGGGAGCAATCATTATCGTTGAATTAATAGTGCAAGCGGACCTGGGACCTAAGACAATGCTTTCATCAGTACATTAGCAGCCTTTCATTACATGTTTCATAGTTTTCAAGGTTGAGTCAGATAATGAATAAACTGATGTTGGCATACATGTTTTACACAGCTTCAAGGAAA